CAATCACATTTATTTATAATTGTTCCTGGGCAATGAGGTAAGAGTGGAAACATGGAAGAACTTTCATATTTTATGTAATTCTCTATTGTTTGAGGATAGTCACTATCATGTTTATTTTATCATTAACCAGACAAATAGATGAAATAATCCCTTTCCTCTCACCTCACCAGGCAATGGGGAGACCAATGAGGATAATCTCAGTGAAAATGTTTTAAAGTTATAAAATGTATAAATTCAGACATGTTATAAATACATAAGAGTTTAATGATGACATTGAGCAAAATACCCCTTGACTTTGTCTCCTCATTTCTTTATCATAAATAGGGCTATTGGATTTACTGGTTTCATAAGCTCTTACTATATTCAGGTTGTTTGTGTGGCCTCTGTTCTTTGTTTTTTCATTTGTTGTTGTTGTTGTTGTTTTGTTGTTGTTGTTGTTTTTTAATTTGCCAGAGTGTGCATGTGCTTCCCAAAGAGAAATAGAGATGTAGAGAGAGAGAGAGCGGGATAGGGAGAAAAAACCTACTCGTGGGGCGTGTTCACACCTCAACCCCTTCTCCATTTCTTCATCCTGTCAGGATTTTGGATACACTGGTATATGTACTCTGTATATTTTTTAAGCCTCCTGAGCCAGGAGGTCAGTCATATGGAATCCAGCTCTCTCTTTCTCCCTCTCATATTTTAAGAGAGATTTTTTTGCTACAGGACATGTGTGCTCTCTGGAGACACAGAGAGACAGACAGAAAGAAAGAAAGTGAGAATCACTTCCCAGAGGTGATGGCCGTGCTGCAGTCCCTTCTCCTCCATTCTCCTCTCAGGATTTTGGGCACCCATGTACATGTGTCTGGCTTGAGTTTCAAGGGTCTGGGACTTGAACTGTGGTCGGCTATGTGGGAGTTCAGCACCACAACCACTATGCCATCTGTTGGCCCCATGGGATCCAGCTCTCTTAGCCACTACGCCACAGTTTCAGGCCCAGTCCTAGGTTTTTAACTGCCAAATTCTCAAAATCTCATTTTCTTGCTCAAAGGCTTCTGCAGTATGTCCTTAGCTATTTACTTCTTATGTGGCTTCGGCTTTGTGAGTAACTAGAGATGACTTAACTGCATTTAAGAAGGGCTGCTGTCTAGCACTAAATGTACAGGATACCTTTGCTGTTTGCTGATCTATCTCACTGGATGTACTTGAGATTGGATTATTTGTCTGTAAACATCTTTTTTAAAAAAAATTGCTAGAGGGTATGAATACTCACCAGAGAGAAAGCAAGTGAGAGAGAAAGAAATAAAGTTTTAAAAAAACATACCCTGGGAGGGATGGCCATGCTTCAATCCCTTCTCCTCTATTCTCCTCTCGGGACTTTGGGTGCATGTGCACCTGCCATGCTTTTCAAGTGACTGGGTCTGGGACTCCAATGGTGAAGTCGGCCATGTTGGATCCAGCCACCTTAACCACAGGCTACTGGCTTGCCCAGTAAATATCTTTAATGACCTGAAAACTTGTCAGCACTTGTGGTTGCTTGGAAAAAGCTATTTAAACAGAAAACCATAGCCTGTGATTTTTGGTTACTTGCTTTCTCTACTTTTTATTTCACTTTGGATTCTGACAAATTTAAATCCTTTGTTCCTTCCTCCTTCTGCCCTTCCCTCCCTCTTTTCTTTTTCCCCTTGCCTTGGAGTCATTTTCTTTTTACCATGTATATCCACTTGTTTCTCATCTGTTGAATATTGGGACTTGCCATATCATTTCCCCAAAGACTAGGTAAAAATGTGGCTTCCTTTATTGCCAATTCCTTGTTTATTATTTTTTAAATGTCTATCTTAACCTATACCACCAAACTATACACTTAAAAATGGTTAAGGTGATTGGGCCCATCAATGGCATGGTGGTTAGGGCAGCTGGATCCCATATGACTGACCACCCTACTCAAATCTCATACTCTGTGGCTTGAAAAACACACTGGGCACATGTGTGAGCATGTCCAAAGTCCCAAGAGAAGAAAGAAGAAGGGATTGTGGCATAGCCATTCCTGCAGGAAAGATTTCTTCTTTCCTTCTCTCTCTTTGGCAAGCACACATGCCATAGAGCAAAAACAAAAACAAAGAAAAACCATAAAACCAAAATGTAAACAACAAAAGAAGTTAAGGTGGTAAATTCTATGATATGGTATTTTACTACAACAACAATAATAATAAAATGGAAAACAATAGCCCAAAGAAAATGTCATAGTTCTTCATAAGAGGCTAATTCATATGTGAGAGAATCAATAGTCCCTTTTGGGACTTTTCTCATATTTAAAATACTGAGGTTGGGGCAGGACCAGCAGTTGGCGTAATGGCTGTGTCACTAGACTCCCATGTAGTCGACTATGGTTCGAGTCCTGGACCCAATGGCTTAAACTCATGCCAGGTGTATGTGCGTGTATGCCCAAAATCCCAAGAGGAGAGTGGAGGAGAAGGGATTGCGGCATGACCATCCCCCTGGGGGATGATTTCTCGCTTTTTGTTTCTCTGTCTCTCTCTGTCTTTTCTGGCGAGTACATGAGCCCTATAGTATTAATTCTTCTTCTTCTTCTTTTTTTTTTTTTTGGAGAGGTTTTTGCTATAGGGCGCGTGCATTCGCCAGACAGACAGAGAGAGACATAGAGACAGAAAGAAAGAAATCACCCCCTAGGAGGGATGGTCACGCCGCAATCCCTTCTCCTCCACTCTCCCCTTGGGATCTTGGGCGTGCACGCACACGCGCCCGGCGTGAGTTTTAAGCCACCAGGTCCGGGATGTGAACCGTGGTCGACTACGTGGAAGTCCAGTGACATAGCCATTATGCTAACTGCTGGTTCCCTAATTATTCTTTTTTAATAAAGAAAATACTGAGATTAGGAGATAGCAGGTGTATAGTAGTTGGAGCACTGGACTCCCACATGGCCAACCACAATTCAAGTCCTGGATCTGGTGGCTTGAAAATCATGCTGAGCACATGTGCCTGCATGTCCAAAGTCCCAAGAGAATGGAGAAGGGATTGCAGCTTGGTCATTCCCCCAGAGGGTGATTTCTCACTTTCTCTCTTACTGCCTCTGCCTCTTTCCAATGAGCATATATGCCTTCTGACAAAGACAAAAAGCAAAAAGCAAACAAACAAAAAACACCTTAAAAATACTAATGAGGTTAGAGTGGGTGATTTCTGAGGTCATCTTTAGTTCAAATAATAAATTTGGAAGGAGCAGGTGAGTGTGGTTGTCAGCACAAGTCTTTGGCATCAGACTCAGGTTCCCCCTGGGCTCTGCTATTTATTAGCTGATTACTTTGAGATAGATACTTTGCCTCAGAATTTTCCACTTTCCTTTGAAAAAATCAGAATTAATTGTGTATCTTCTATAGAGAAGGAAGAGTTTAGCTTGGTGCTTGGTACATAGTAAGAGTTTGATAAATAACAGATTTTAAAACTGAGCCTTTTTTTTAAGAGAGATTTTTTAAATGTAGGGTGCATGCACTGGCTGGAGAGACAGACAGAGACAGAGAAACAGAAAATGACAAATCAACACCCAGGGGGGATGGTTATACCACAATCCCTTCTCCTCCATTCTCCTCTCAGGATTTTGGGCACACATGCACATGTATCTGGCATGAGTTTTAAGCTGCTGAGTCCGTGACACAAACATGGGAATCAGTGATGTAACCATTATGCCTCCTGCTGATCCCAAAGCCGAGCATTCCTTGAAGTACCTCAGCTGTTACTGTGACATGCACAAGTAGTAAGAAAGTAGAATGTCATTCATTCTCAACAGTCTAACAAAGCACTCTAGGTGGAATGTGGAGTACATTTTTATATGGTTTATGCTTGAAAGCACAGATGTGGCTAAACCAAGTCCTAAGGCAAACTGTAACCCTCCAGCATGTATAGTCTCCCCTGATTTCTGAACAAATCCTTCCTAAAGTCCCCATGGAAGCACTCAGTTCACTCAGCTTCTCTAACCTCTTCAAGAATAACCAGTTGGAAATTTATTCACATCCTTGAATGCTCTCAAGCCTTTTAATTTTGAACTTCAGAAGATATTCATCTTTTAAATATACAATAATTTTTTAAAAAAATTATAAGTGAATATATTTAAAAGAATTATTTAGTTTTATTTATTATTATCACCATCTTTTAATTTGATGAGAGAGGGAGAAAGAGAAAGAGAGAGAAAGCAAACCATTGGATACAGGACTCAAACGGCAATTTGCCACCAGGGAGTCCAGCACCTCAACAACCATGTTTCCTTCTGGCCTCTAGAAGTGAATATTAACATTCTATTTTGCGGGTGAGACATTTCACTTAGTTCAGTTTATATAATTCTGATTGAAAAATTAAACTTGAGCAAACTTTCTACTCTACGGGTACCAAAATTTCAGTGCCCAGATCAGCTCTAGAGAAGAGGAGAGCTTTCAATGAAAATTTTAAACAAGTGAGTTCAAGATTCCAAAGCATTTCTTCAATTGTAACAGGACATGATAGATGTTTTTTGTGTTTTTTTTTTATATAATATAATACACTTTATTTTGTTGCTCAGATAATTCCAGCTTTGGTCACCAGTAGCTCCTTCCGTTGGTTCCTGCTTCTCTGACATACCCTCAATCATTTTTTTTTTTTTCTGGTAGCACAAGATGCTCTGGGCTCATCTTGTATGTTTCTTGTCCCAGTCCTAGAATCAGTACTTTTTTCCAAAGAGTCCTGGTTCCTTTACTAAAAACCAGGATTGGGGCTTCCATTCTAGTTATTTTCTGGCCACATAACTGCTAACAAAGGTGTATCACTCTGGCTGGCTGTACTAATGTGAACTGAGAGCATTATCAGAAGAAGTCAGCTCTAGAGAATAACAATCCCTTAAATTACTTTTTCTTTAGGTAAGTCTAGGCAGAAAATAATGCAAAGAATTTTCATTATAAATTAAGTAGGTCAAACCACACAGCTTGTTGTATTGTAAACCAATCCCACATAGTTACAACCCAACTGCAGAAAGATCCTTAGAACAACAGTGTCATCTGTCGGGGGTCATCAGGGAGGATACTGATGGTATCTTCAGCTTCGCCACGTAACAGACACAGCACGGTATATTCCTGAAATTCATCCATGGTACTGAACGTATACTCATGCCTGGCTACTACGTGATGACAGTTCTTACACAGATGATCGTAGGTTATTATTTCTTCCCCGTCTTCTTCTTTCAAGGATTTGTTTGTGATCAGCATAAAATCTCGCTTATTACACACTGCACAGCCTGTGAAGTTCAGCAAGAAGGATCCATTCTCCAAGCAGGTGTTACCCCGGTTCGGATATTCCTTCTCCACACAGTCCCCACACATCTTGATGAGGTGAGCAGGGCCCGTCCTCCAGTGCTCCCCCATGATACTTGGTTTTACCAGTATGATCCTATAGACAAACACAATCAAAGCAATGGCTACCAATAGGTAGGTGGAAGTGATCCAATCAAAGCAAAATCAGTCTAATTAAGAGCAAAGGTCATGGCAGAGACAGCAGTTTGTGTAAAGGCTATGTTGCTGGACTCTCATGTAGTTGACTGTGATTCAAGTCCCAGACCCGGTGGCTTACACTCATGCTGGGCATGTGTGCATGCGTGCATAAGATCCCTAGAGGAGGACAGAGGAGAGGGGATTGCAGTGTGGCCCTCTCCACTGGGGGGTGATTTCTCACTTTCTGTCTCTCTGTCTCTGTCTTTCTGGTGAGCACACGCGCCCTATAGCGAAAACCTCTCCAAAAAAAAAAAAAAAGAGCAAATGTCATGGCAATAATTTGTGGGGATACCTAAGGCATTTTTTAAAAGAAAGATTCCTGCTACAGGGCACAGGTGCTCACCAGAGAGTCAGAGAGAAAACAGAGAGAAAGCTAGAAATCACCCTGCAGGTGGACAGCCACACCACCTAAGGCATTTTTCTTGTTGACTTTTTGGAAGGCCTAAGAACATCATTAAGAGAATGTTTTCATAAAGTTAGCAGAAGCTTTAGCAGCAAAGCACCTGGGGAAACGTCACCAGAGTTATTTTCTGGCTCAACAATGCTTCTGCTTATTCCTTTCATACAAGGGCAATTTTGTGAGAATTTTAATACAGAATTATTAGGGCATCCAAGTTATAGTTCCTTACTTGGGTCCTTTTGACTTTTTTTGACTTCTTAAAAAAGTCTTTCCAGGGCACCCATTTTTCTTCAATTACAAATGTAAAACAGACTATATTGACACGGTTTAATTCCCAGGACCCTCAACTCTTTTTTTTTTTTTTGGAGTGGTTTTCACTATAGGGCATGTGTGCTCGCCAGACAGAGAGAGAGAGACATAGAGACAGAAAGCGAGAAATCACCCCCCAGGGGGGATGGTTATGCCGCAATCCCTTCTCCTCCATTCTCCTCTTGGGATCTTGGGCACGCATGCACACGTGCCCGGCGTAAGTTTTAAGCCACCGGGTCTGGGACGCGAACCACGGTCGACTACATGGGAGTCTAGCAACATAGCTATTACGCCAATTGCTGGTTCCCAGGACCCTCAATTCTTTAGGGTTGGACTAAATGACTGGTATCATTGCTTACAAATGTGTACTGAACTTGATGAAGCGTATGTTGAAAAACAAAGTTTATATTTATATTTTTATCTTTTAATTCCATTTTCCATGAACTTTTTGAACTCTCTACTTAGCATTTACTGAATACAAGAGGGAAAGATGATGTGGAGACTTCCAGACATTTAGAGGAACAATTTATACAATAATGATCAGGCTGTGTAACAGAGAAAAAAAGCAAAGTCTTCCAGAAGAAGACCAGATTAGAAGCAGTCAGAAGCTATCTTTTTAAGTAGAATATGTGGTCTGGGGAAATTTCATGTAAAAGCTAGGAAACATGATTTGTGCTATTTCTGTGAGAACAAACAACTTATACTGATTCTTAGCTCCATTCTGATGCATGGAGACCAAGTCCAGTGGATCTCTCACTGTAGGGCTGGTTACTCCTGGATGCCTTCTCTTATTGATTACGAAGAGTGGTTTTATTATGGGTGAGAAATTGATGTTCTAATGAATATGGTCAGTCCTTTGTATGGTTGACAGATAATGCTGAGGGCAATTTACCTCCTGTGGGAGAAGGAAGTACAGTCATGCATCATTTCACAACTGATATAAATTCTAACAAATGTGTCTTTAAGTGATTTAGTCATTGTATACGCATCATAGAGTGTGCTTACACAAACCTAGATGGTATAGCCTGCTACACAAGTAGTAGTAGAATCATATAGTCTTATAATCTTATTGGACCACCATTGAATATGCAGTTCATTGTTGACCAAAACTCTGTTACATATATAGTACATGACTATACTTCATTATTACGAAAATTTTCAAACACAAAGCAAAGCAGAAAAACTTTCAAATGTGAATACTTTCACCCACCATGTATCACCCAATCGAGATACACCTATCATCTCCATTTTATCATTAACATTTACTGTCCTTGCTTTGTAATAAACCTGTATATTTACCCATGACTCAATCCACCCATCAATCCATTTTAGTTTTTTTATGAGTTTCAAAAAAAATTGCAGATAATTGATATATCCTCAGTTCTTTAAATACTTTGTATTGCCATCCCTTACTAAAATTTAATATTTGTCTACAATTTTTTCTTTTTTGATTTAAAATTTACATGCAATGAACTGCAAGGATTAACACTAGTATCCATTGACTGAGTTTTGACAAATGCATACTTCTGTAGAAGATATAGAACATGTCCATCATCCTAAAAAGTTCCTCAGCCTCCATCCCAGTCAACTACTATTCTGATTGTTTTCCACAATTTATTAACTTTTTATGTTCCAGAATTTCTATTAATATAATTAAAAAGAATATGCTTTTTTTAATGTATGACTTCTTTCACTCAGTAAAATGTATTGTTTTTTCTTTATTCATGATGAAACACATGCATGTAAATGAGTGAGACAGGAAAGTAAGTGATGTGAATGCCTCACAGATCTGGTCATGCTGTGATATCCCTTTTCCACTCCTCCTTGGGATTTTGTGCACTCTTAGGCACTCACACGTGCATCTGCCATATTTTGGGCTGACTGTGCCAGACAGTCAAACCACAGTGAATATGTGGGACCTAGCTGCTTTTGAGTAGCATCATGGACCAACAGATGGCATAATGGTTGCATTGCTGAACTTCACAGTTCGAGTTCTGGCCCTGGTGGCTTAAAAACCTCATGCTGGGCATGTGTATGTATGTGCCCAAGATCCCAAGAGGAGAATAGAGGAGAAGAGATTGTGAAAGAGCCATCCTCCCAGGGGATAATTTCTTACTTTCTGTGTCTCTGTCTCTCTGATGAGCACACACACCCTATAGCAAAAATCTCTCTCTAAAAAAAAAAAAAAGATTGCATCACAGAATTGACCCAATAAAATATCTTTGATTCACCCATGTTGTTTTGTGTACTAGTAGTTTGTATTATTTTACAAATCTATTACAGAAATTTTTAATAGTTTATTAGTCTATATTCGTATCGATACTTGAATGTTTCCATTTTTGCTATTAAGAATACAGCTATTATGAATGTTCTTGTATAAATCATTTTGTGGTCATATATTCTAATTTATCTTTTTAATTGTTTTTTTTTATTTTATTTCAAGTTCTTTTATACATTCAATCACGTTATTTAGCTTGCAAAGTGAATATTCCAATATGTGTACATTTCTCCCCTGTCCAGTTGATAATACTATAAAGTTATCTTCAACAGATAATACCCCATTTCTTTGTCCCATTAATGCTTTGCCTCTCTACTTTTCTCTTTAATATTCTTCCTCAGACTCTTTGAATGTCTAAAAATTACTGGATCATAGAACATATATTTGTTTAATTTTTATAAAAACTTTACAGGATTGCTTCCAAAGTACTTATACCATTATGTGTTCTTACCATTCATGTACAAGAGTGGAGAAGGATTTTGGTACTTCAAAAGGGGCCTCTATCTAAACATAGCTAAATTTTTCTATCCAGAGACATGACCTTCTATTATACTTCAAGGTCATGATCATGGCATAAAGGGATACCTCTCACTACTGCCATCACCACCATGACCTTGCATTTCAGAAAGGTTAATTGTGTAAAGAATCTTGAGGCCAGTTTGAGTTACTATCAGAACACACAGGGTCTGAAGTGATCAGGGCATAAGAGGCCCTGGGGCCACTGGTAAGGAAATGTCTCATTGGTGAAGCCATGATACCTATGAGCAGGTAAATTAATGATCTGTTTCTTCTTAGTAAGCTTTGTAGATAGAAATGGTGAAAATAATATATTTGAAGAAATTCAGATCTTGGTAATATAGGGTCATTGGAAAAGTCATAATATATTTTCCTATACTTTTCCATCAAAAATGCATCATAAGTTTTCTGACAACCCAATAGTTGGGAATGCAGGATTCCCAAGAGGTAGCCAGTGGTCATTAAATTTGAGCCTATAGGTCAAGATGTGGAGTCAAATACAGGAATTTTTTTTTTTCTGGAGAGGTTTTTCTTTTTCTTTTTTTTTTTTGCTATAGGACACATGTGCTTGCCAGAAAGACAGAGAGACAGAGAGATAGAAAGCAAGTAATCACTCCCCAGAGGGGATGGCCACACCACCATCCCTTCTCCTCCATTCTCCTCTCAGGATCTTGGGCATGCACGCACACGCACCTGGCATGAGTTTTAAGCCACCAGGTCTGGGACGCGAACCGTGGTCGACTACGTGGGAGTCCAGCAACATAGCCATTACACTAACTACTAGTCCCAGGAATTTTTTTTTTTTTTTTTTTTTTTTAGAAGATGCTACTAGTGGTTTTTCCAGGACAGAGAAGAGTTCTTTGTTTATTTATTTTTTCTAATCTAGCCCATATGCCTAGCTGAGAAAGTATCTTCATATCATTTTGAATGAGATGTTCCTTGTTCAATGATTCCTTAAGCATTCTTTAGATAAGAATTTTATGGGCATCCTTCATTGGGTTAGGCTTAAAATTAATAAATATTATGGTTTTATTGCAAAGTCTTGCCTTCACTTCCTTTTAAAAATTACACAGTTTATAACATACAAATTTACTATCTGTCTCCTCCCATTACGTACATATCAAATGAACAAATGAAACAGATGGTTTTGGCCATGAAACAGATGGTCATAGAGTTGGTTCAATGTTTGTGAGTACAACAGCTCAAGATCATCTTATCTGAAATAACTCTAGGAATGCCTATACCCAGTAGACAAAGGTTGTTCACTGACTAATTTAAGATATATGCTTTCAAAAGCAAAGTAGTTGGAAAAGGAACCAGAATTGCAAA